GTAAATGCCCCCTGCTGCTACATCTGAGAATGCCAGATTGCTGAAGACTTGGGAGCTGCTTTTGGCTTGAAATCCCACCCTGTTAGATATGAAGAGATGTGGATGTTTGGTTACTGCAGGAAATACTGACATGTGCTTTAATATTAGCCTCCATTGCATCTTTTTAGATTATTTAGTAAATTTTAGGGCACCCTGGAGATTCCGAGAAAGTGTGAATGTTGGCAGAGAAACCAACAAAGCCTGTAGGAGTCTGTCAAGAAAAGGAGAACAGAGCTTACAGGCTGAGCTTTCTGACTGGGGTAGTGGTGTCATTACCACCAAATTAAGCTAGGAACAATCAAGAAGAAGGTTGATTGACTTACCAGCCTAGGGGCATGGGTGTTGAATGGAAAGTTGACTTGATGTTCTGGGGACAAGCTGATAGAATCATTGTGAGCAAAGATCTCTCAGTGAACAAAATCACATTGTTCCAGAAACTCAGATGGTTCAATCCAACTGCTGAACTAAAGCCAGAGGTGACAGGAGAGACCCAGGGGTTCCTGAGGGTCAGGTCCCTAACTGCACTAGAACAAATAGAGCATCAGCAATGAGGGAGGGATCTTGGGGCTTCATCCGGGTTCTCTTGTTTGTTCATGAGATGTGGACTTCCCCCACGTAGAAACCTGAACGCCTACTGCTGTGCAGGATCACAATGAAATGTTTCTTTCCTTAGGATATAATTTTCTTCTATGAAGCTGAGTTGGACAGTGTTAGAGAAAGCAAAACAAACCAGAATATGTGATGAGGCAGGGAAGAACAAGGACTTAATTGTAGGGTAGGGTGCATAACTTGTTCAGAATAAGAAATCAAGACTTCCACGTGGACCTCTCCTTCTTTCTCATTAGCACCAGCGTGCCTTTCTCAGAACGTTCTAACCCACTCAGGAAGAATCACAATGTAATGTTACCACCTAAGTTAGTTTATAAAACACATGCGTTTAAGTCTCTTGATCCTTTTAGGATCCCTGAGATGTAAGAGTTACTGTGAACCCACCCTGCAGAGGGGCAGCCAAGCTCTAGGACTGAAATTTAGCTGATACCAAATGCAGTGTTGTTTGCCACACTCAGAGCTCCACCACGAAGGGAAGAGCCCAGCAACACAACTGTCAGTTTAGGGGCAGCTGAACTGGTGGTGATTACTCTTCCCTCAGCCCCAAGGCGGAGTTCAGATAAAGTCTGAAACAGAAACAGAGGGTAGCAAGGCAAGTGAAGTCAGGAAGATCTCTGCCGCCTTCATCACTTAATTAGCCCAGTGCCACACTCCATTTGCTGTTTTCTGCAAGACACTTGTAATTGTATGGCTTTCTTGGCTTTTCATGCCGTGAAAGGCTCTTTCATCCCAGCTCTTCCAGTCCCTGGGGAGCTGGATAGGAAGGGAAGAAAGAAGCGGAATAGGGATTCGGTGAACACAGCTCTCTGCATCGTGTTCCCTGGTGATCCTCCACTTTCTCCTGCCTACTCCCCTGGCCAGCTACCTGAATGGAGCACCTGGAATAGGTTTTGATCCTGTCATCACTCACCCAAGGCATGTGAGCTGGCACATAGCAGCCTCAGCCTCCCTGATTGAAACTGCCTTTTGTTAGGTACTTTTTATCTAAGTGAAAGAAAAAGAGAGAGAGAATGAACAAACTCAGTCAAGGAAGAAACAAAAGGGAGTCTCCAGGGGCCAGTGGGAGACAATCCATCAAAAACTTCTAGACACTGCCAAAGTGCGGAGGGTATGCAACAGGCATCGCACACAGGCACCAAGCAGCAATCAGGAACCAAAAGAGAAACTTGCTCGAAATTTCACAGAAGCACAATTCTATTCTCAAAGGCATTCAGCACTGACTCCAGCCACATACCAAGCTCTAGTGAAACTTGAAATGGCTGTCAGAGATGAAACACTCCCCAAAGCTTCTCAAATGCGAAGGTGGAAACTGTAGCTTTTTAATTTCTACTCCATAGCATTGGGCTCAAAAATTCTTCTGGGCTGGACACTTGAGCTGAATAACAAAGGAGTGAATTTGATGCAGACTATGCAATGATTCTACTGACAATCTCAACTACTGGAGGAAAGCAAGCAGGTGGGTCTCAGGGCCCCTTAGCACAAATCATTGCAGGAGCTTTGCTGACAATGAACCTCGCTCTAGGATGGAAATTTCCATTGCCTTCTCCATGGTGCTCCTGGCTCCTCTGTTCATTTGCATGTCTCATTTTTCTTCCCTCACTCAATGCACAGAAACCACAAGAGCACAAGGAGTACTCCAAGCCCTCTTTCAAACACCATTTATGACCCATTTCAAGATTCCAGCCGCCTGGGCTGAGAATGAGGACACAGGAGAAATGGAACTGAGGGGATAGAAGAGACTTGAAGCTACGTGGATGCAGGATGCTTGGCTTGTTGGCTTAATGAATTTTCAATTGATAAGAGAGAGAAAATGAATACACTTTGCACCTTGGACTTTACCCTTTTGGCCAGTACTTTTCCTCTCCCGCTCTTCATCCTCCTCCGTCTTCCAGGCTCCTGGAGTGATATTTGCTATTACATTGACCAACAATGGAATCTTTTGCTAGTGCAGGTTCTTTCTAAAGTAGTTAAGCAAGAGCTTAGCCAGGGTTCAAAGTGAAGAACTTTGAAGGGACTGTTGACTGTACTTGTTAAGGATCTGAGGACTTAAGTGCCTCTCAATGTGTCCTTGTTTCAGAAGAGAAAAGCAAGAATGCAGAGGGAGTCCTCTGCTGGCGATGGATCAACAGTAATAACAAGTATGTTGGAAGGTTCATGAATAAGAGATTGCATATAATCTCTGGGCTATGAATTATGCACAGTTTGTGGCCCGAAGAGAGAGGCTACTTCCTGTTTGACTCACCTCTGCCAGTTTCACCTTCACTTCCTGCATCCCTGGGTAGCAGCAGCCATCGTATCTACTTTAATCTGTTGAAAAGGAGTTGGTCCAGGAAAAGAGGTCTGTTAACACGAAATGTCCTTGACTTCGGTGAACTCACATCATTCTCAAAATTTCTTTCCCTTGATACCAATTTCAAATCACCTAAACTAATTTCCACTTCAAAACTTCTGACAGAGACTTCGAATTGCAAATCCCAATTGTTAACCAAGAGGAAAAAAAGTATGGAAAATGGAAAAGCAGCCAGTTAAGGAATGAGTGGGCAGGGGAAGAGAGAGAAATGGAAATATCTTACATGATGACAAATATCTTTGATGAGCATGTGGATTTAGAGTCAAATTTAGCTTCCACCCCATAGGGTGGTGTCGCTAAGTCCTTTGAATAAATATTAGTGGCTGTATCTTTGAAAGACATCACTCTGTGAGCTGCACAGTCCTCATAAGTGCTGTGATCTGGTTTCTGCTTATTTCAGCTCCAAAACGAAACTGAACACCACAGCAGCAGGCAGAAACTGTCCGTATTTCCATATCATCTTGGTCTTGCACAAGCCTATCATTTTCAATACTGGGCAGCTGGTTCAGTGTGTGTCATGAGCACAAGGACTCTGAACAAGATGCATTCACAGTCTCAGCATCTGCAGGAAATCAGGACTCTGCCTGATGGAATCGTGTCCTACTGCTTCCAGCCAATGTCAATTTTTTCTGCTCCTATTTCTTCTTTCTGTAGACAACATCAGAATGGAGACAGAAATGATACCTGTTAAATTATAATGGCCTTATAATATCCCAGCAATATAAATAATTCCAAGGATCTTTTTGCTTCATTTATTTATTTGAGAAATAGACCAAGATGATAAAGCTATAGAGAGGCAGAGATGGCACAGATGGAGAGAGCTCACCTTCTGGTTCATTTCATAAATGACTGTAATGACCAGGACATGGCTGAGTCCAGGTCAGAGACTGAAAACTAAATCCAAGCACTCTGATACGTGTTGCAAAAAGCCAATGTTTTGAATCATCAATGCTTCCCCCAGGGCCAGGAAGCTGGAGCTGGGAGCTGAGCCTGGAGTCAAACACAGATATTCCAATGTGGGACAAGAACATCTTCACACCTAGGCTAAATATCCACCCCTCAAGAGGTCATTTTATCCTCTGCTCCTCCTGGTAGAACTACCCCTACATGGTCCCCAACAGTAAAAAAAAAATACCCCTTCTGTACCAAAACCTGCCATAACCTCCAAGGTAAGACAGGAGAGAGAGGAGAATAATGATTTGCAGCAGCTAACATTATGTTGAATTTCTACTCTGACAGGTTAAACAAGCATGGCTATAGAAGTGAAGAAACAAAATTCTTGGAGCCAAGGAATTAGTCCAGAGCTCACAATTGAAATGTCCCAGTGTGTGGACCTGACTGGTATTGTATCAAAGTTCATGTGCTTTCTAAAACGCTATGGCCTCTGCCCCAAGGGAGTTCCCTCTTGCTCTGGAGGTGTGTCAGTGTGTACATTGCTGTAGAAACCCAACAAGTGGCTCACTTGGTGTCCTCTCTAATGTATAGTGAATGCCTCCCCCTGCTCTGTCCTGATTTATCTCCAACACATCTTTAAAAATTGAATGGCATTTCAGCCTTTAGGAGAAATGCCGTCAAATCCCTTGGGGGCTGTAGTTTCTATCATCTCCTCATTCCAGGCATTGATTAAGTTTGCATTAGGGTTAGGATACTGATGAATAATGACAAGAATAAAAAGGAAGAGGAATTCTGTCTCATTGCCAAAAGGAGGATGCTCCCTAGCTGAAAATATCTTTTCATAAATTCAGGTACAATGAGCTATATTATCCATACCTCACACTGTAATCCATTCCTGCCTCCCAAGTGCTCCCTATTCTATACTGAATATTTGGGGTGAGGGGCGGTTAAAGGCATTCATTATCAAATTGTGTTAAGGGAGTAACTGTATAATGAGGATATTGGCATGCATCCCAGCATGATCTGGGGGGCTGGGATTCAGGATGCTAAGCCACCATTTAAAATGTAAGCAATTAAAATTAATTAAAAATCATTAAGCAAACCTTCACTTTTGCAATTCCAAGGTGCAACGTGAGTCACTAGAGCTCCAAGAAGATGTGTGTACCACTGCTTCTACATGAAGTATTCCCGAGACTTGCGCATCGGCTACAAGTCTCTGCTGGACCAAGGCCGCAAGGTGAGTCAAGAACTCCTGTTTAAAAGAAATTTGCATGTGTGGACTCCAGACTTACACCATCCGCAATGATCAATCAATGATATTTCTTCTGCCATCCTGCTCTGTGCCGCATTCCCCAAGAGCATTGATGGTTCAGCCATGAATGGAATGGCAGATCTCACCAAGAGTTGGGATCCAGTTGGGATCTAATTGGAATGGCTGGACAGTCCAGAAGCTAAGAACAACAAAAATGAAACAATGCAGAAGAATGTATCACTTGTTATCTAACATGCATCAGTAAGCACCTACTAAAAGACATTGTGTTAGAGCATGTGGTACTAAGTCCTGGCCACCCATGCCAGCCATCTGCTAGCTACAAAAGGACCAACTGAGGGCTAAAGTGTGGTGTACTCTTTAAGGATGAACATAACATGTTTCTCGAGTAGGCTGGTGGAAATAAAGACACAGATTAGGGATCTGTGGAAAGGACTGTTCCCCAACAAGGAAGGGGGTGAAGAATGACACAAGACGTGATGGTCAAATTAAGTAAAATCTTCATAACCAGAAAATTCTTATAGCATCATCTAAGTGGATGGAGATTCAGAATCATAAGCAAGAACTGATCTCAACAGGCCGTGCCTGCCATCTCAGGCACACAAGCAAATAAGAAAATGGATGGTATAATGTCTACACTGCCCTTATGCTGAGGTATCATCACATTTATTACACTGAGAACAGATAGTCTAGAAGAGTACGTGCTTCATATAGTTTGGAGAATCTGAAGAGTCTGGAAATCAAACTCATCCCAGCTAAAGGAGTCAGGGAAATTTATTTCTGAGGAATAGAAAAAAGCATGGAGGACTGGAAATAATGGTTACTTCCAAACACTTGGAGAAACATTACTTAAGTAGATAAATGATTTCTCTATGTTACTTTTTTTTTCTGATAGAAACACTTGGCAAAGACCTAACATGGAAGCATAATGAAATGAAACAAGGAAAAGAAAGAGAAGCTGAAATGGTAGCAGAGTTCTAGGGGATAGGCTCAATCTTTCTCCTCCCCATCACAGATGCAGGGGCTCCCACACAAACCCTAGAGCAAAGAGAAACCCTATTTAAAAACATTCACTGGATGCTGGGAATAAAATTAGCCAAAGAATGACTAAAATGAGGGGCTAGAGTTTTCTGACAAAAACTGTAACGAAGAGTTTTCTAATCATTAAAAATGATCAGTCAATGAAGAGATGGGACACTATGTAATGTCCTAATTTCTGTATCTTTGATGATCAAACAGTACCTGGAAGTCCACTGTCAGGAATGTAATGAAAGCATTTCCTGCACCAAAGTAGAAGATGACATTACTTCAAATTTCTTTTCAACTCTCAGGTTTCATAAGTCTTTGACACCTTTAAAGCTTTATTTTGTGTTAATGGGAGACCCAAGATCTGAACGCTGACCTTGGCCTCTATACACTGGAAATTTTCAACACAAAAATTAGGTAGACTTCAAGGAAAACTTTGGATGCAAGGCTTATCCGGAGCACGGGGACTCCTGCAATGCCTCGCATCTCACTTTGTAGTGTGTGCAGGAGAGCTGGCTGTCACTGGAGTCTTCCTACTAGGACCTGGTGGGGAAAGCTGTCTGCTAACCCCTCCTTCTTTGAGAGAAGGGAACTCAGAAGATACAGCACCTGCTTCCTGATAAAGACCTCATAAATATGTTTTTAAAAATTACCTTTCCATGCTGTGTGGCCACATCAAATTGCTAAACTTCAATATTTCAAAATGTGACTGTATTTGGAAAGAGGATGTTTAAAGTGCAATTAATTGAATGTGGTCCTACTGGAGTGAAGTGGGTCCCTAAATCAATAAGACTGGTATCTTCTAAGTCAGGTCAAGAGATATCAGAGGCTGGAAAGAGACATGGAAAGATTCTTATACAGTTTCCAAGGGAACACTTTGTTGGAGTTTTGGGCCTCCAGAAGTGAGAGACAATACGTTTCTTCTATTTCAAGACACCTGATTTATAGTACCATATTATGGGAATCCTAAGAAATCAGCACAGTGATGGTCTTCACGTGGAAGCAGACTTACTTTCTTTCAGAGGGTCCAGAGTAGACGAGAAATTGGCAGTGGTTTTCCTGGCTATGCATCTTGCCTCCTGTATTAGAGCAACAGAATCCTCCAATCGTGAGGCTGTCAGCGGAGAAGAGAGCAGGAATGAGTGCCAGGGAGTGGGCATCATGTTCACCTTGTTCTCCATTTGACTGATCCAGTCAGCCCATCGTTTTGTACATCTCACTGTCCATAAAATAGATTAAAATAATATTCTGACACATGAGAGCCTCAAAAGATGACAAAATCCCTAAGATACTCAGACAGGAGTAGAGGAGACTCCTCTAGAGACAGTAGCAGCTACCTAGAGCAGGACTGCTTCCAGGAAGGACCAAGTTAGAAGGACGGACCTGAAATACCAATGGGGTCAACCTCAAAGGAACCCTTAGATAAACTGAAAGGGCACATGAGTGCCAGGAGTCCAGGGAAGACAGCCAAGTTTGAACTTCAGTTTGTCAGGCCAGCCAAGATGGAGTGGGCAAGGTGGAGAATCCAGGTCACTAAGTCCAGATTATAGACATTTATCCAGCTGGGAGTGGGCAGGCTGAAACAGCAAAAGAGGAAGACACAAGCAGAGCAAAGGCAACAGTCCAAGACCAGAGTAGAGAAAATGAAGCCAAACACACTTACAAGAGCAGACTGGATTGCAAAAGAAAACGCCTTACCTCTTGCATGGAACTATCTGCTTTCTATTTTTATACAGGCTTTCATAAGCCTTCTTGGTATGGATTGCTGGGGGCCAGAAGATCATGCAAATGTTAATTCTAAAACATTGATATGTGAAGACCTTATGTTCAGAGGGGTTTTTGCAGTTATAATTATTTTGGGGGCTAAGGAAGGCTCCTTAGGAGCTGGTGGTTGGCACATGCATTCCAGCTAGTCATATTGAACTGTATTGTTTGTCTTAGAACAATAAACATCAACTTCCTTCATAAATGGAAAAAAAGAACCCACTGTAGTTTGAAAACAGTCTGAATTCTCTGTCTTTCTGTGTTATTTCCTCATTAGAGCTTTGACCTACTCATTTCTAACCCATGAGCCTTGGGATTCTCAATCTACAAAATAGAGGCATTGTGGTAAATACCAGCTCACTGAAGGCAGAGGCTAACACATCTCAGGGGGAGTAAAGAGTGGCCACAAACTAATCCATGTGGGGTTGGTATTGACCAGGGAAGGACTGAATGACCCATGTGAATATTGTATGCGAAAGCAGGACAGGATCACGTTGCAGAAGGTCTAGTAAGAAGCTGTAAGTCACCAGGAGATAAGCTAGAGCAATGTGTCATGGTTTGGAAGGCTTGCTTCACCCAGAAGAGATGAAGGAGACATTCAAGAACACAGAACTGTGTTCTCAGGGGTGTACCCTGCTCCCTTGGGGTACCCATGCTCGTTTCATTTAGGGTTCACTGACAACATCTTTGATAAAGCAATTTTCTTCTTTGTTAGTAGAAGTGACACGAATGTCAACCAGCATAGTTGTTTTAGCAGTCATGCCTACCACCGAAAGTGTTTCAGAAAAACTATCAACAAGACAACGTATTGAGTACCACTGTCTGCCGAGCTCTTCACTGCTCTAATCCCACAGAACCATCCCAGCAGGCCCCTGGTGTGGGGGATGCCACCTGCCCGTTACAGACGAAGACTCCACCACCTTGAGCATTGAGTTCATATCCAACACCACATGCTATTAACCACACATCTGGCACTGGAAGCTAGGACAGTCCTAATAAAAAGAAAGCCTCTGATGGTGGGATTTGAACCTAATTGTGAAGGAGTCATGAAGTGGCTTCGGGCAGAAAAAAATTTCCAGTTGAGAACAAGTCAGTGATGTGGAGATAAGAGTAGCAGAAAAGAAGCAGTGTGCACAAGGGTCCCCTCCGTGCGGGCCTCTCGACATACCTTTCATTCCCTCAGCACAGCGTTCAGGCGGCACTCAGGGCTGGCACTTCCTTTGCTCCTTTACAGGTCTCTCAGCAAGAAATGCATCCTCGCTTGTCTTGTTTTGACTTCTCCCTTTTCATCTCCCTTTCCCCCACTTTACGCCCAGCAGACTTTCAGAAACCTGGGCCTCACAGTTCCAGTGGGTAACAACTTCACGTGGCAGTGACAGATCACTTTCTCTGTGCTGGTCTCTGGCTTGAGCTCTTTACACAGAAGTTCCCTTTTCATCCTCAACATGCTCAGGAAAAAGATATCTTACAGATGACAATATTACACTCTGTCTCGCGTTCCTTAACTACGTTTGAAATATTTTGTCTTGGACTCAAGGATCACGAATAGGAAAGAGACAAGCTTCTAGAAATAAAATGAGAATACAAAACAAAGTGCTAATTTTCTGACCAGTAAGCTTTCTCCTTTCACCTGCAATTACCCTGACTGTTGGTAGTTTACTGAGCCTCCATCTCAGGGCTCAAGCAAGGCACTCAGTGTACTCTGATGCCCAAGGCACAGCAGATAGAGTTGGACCTGCTAGTTTACAATGGATACCATATTGACACCTTATTAAAGTGCCTATATACAAATGGCCTCAACTGACCCATCCTGATTGGTCTATGTTTAAAAGAGGATTCCAATTCTGACAAGTCTAACTAAAGAAGATAAAAGAGGCCCCAAGGGCAGGGGACAATGGACTGGCTAATGTGCAGGAATAAACTTTACAGCAAAGAGGCAGGGCTACCATAAACCTCCACACTGCACTATTCAGGTTGTGATGGAAACGGCACGCCTTGGCTGATGGCTTTGCTTGGGAACCCCTTGCAGACGCATTGTCCGGCTCTCCCTCCCTGCTGGTGAGGTCTCTGCCCTGAACTCTGCAGAGGCACTGGACTTCAGAACAGTGGGGAGAGCTCTGCAGATCTCAGGGCCTGCTCTGTGGATGCCAGGGGCCGGGGGCAGTTAGTTCCCTCAGGTTGGAAGTGGAACCCCTAAAGGCTGTCCCTTTCAGGAAAGGTAAAAGTGCAGCATTTTTACACATTTTTGGGCAGCTTTTCAGAGAATATCTCTTCCATGTCCCTGTCTTTCATTTGGACCACTTAAAGATTATTCACTTGAAAGATGGTTCCAGTCTTTGGAAACTGTTGAGCATAAAACTGTGCACATTTTGTTATTTATTTTGTTTACTTAGATGAAAAAATGCTTAATTTTCCTAAAGCCCAAGCTTCATCATCAAACACGCTATATCCTCTTATTTGACTTTTCGGAGTGGTGAAGGGTATTTTACTGATAACTTGAATCATTTATAAGGACTTGGGATCCAATTTAATACAATAAATATTTCCTGAGCTCCTATGTTCCAGAGAGGATGATGGGGCTGGGAAAGCCACCCAGTGGCTGGAGCAAGCTTTCTCTCTGCCTTGAGAAGCAGGATTCCACATCTATACACAGAAGAGGGGAAATGCCATAATTGGACCATGAGAACAGGGATTGGGAGCCACCAATTTTGTCTGGAACCAGATAATTCCATGATGCAGGCAAGGATACTTCAGAGGGCACACGGACCACACCAGAGCCAAGGGGATGCACATGGAAGGCACGGCTCAAGTGTCTCCCAAAAGGAGAAAACTGGCTGAGAAGGTCAAGGTGGCTCTAACTGAACTCTGCATATTGTTTCCTTCCTGTATTGTGTTTATTCCTCTCCTATTTATCGAAACTGATACATTTATTCATCTAATTGGTACATTTTAAATTCATATTTATTTAATCTCCCTTCATTTGAATGGCAAAGTGATAGAAAGATCTTCCACCTGTCGGTTTACGTCCCAAGTCCCATAGAGGTCAATACAGGGATAGGTGGGATAGGCCAAGGTCAGAAACCTGGATCTTCATCTGGATGTCGTACCTGAATGGAGGGGGATCAAGTACTTGAGCCATCATCCGCCAGTATTTGTTGAAGCCATGCCTATTATGTTTCTGACCCTGAAATATGTGCCAGAAACTCAACAGTGAATAAGAGAGGAGAAGCTCCACTGCTTGTGTCTCCCCAAAATGCAAATGTGGAAAGCTAACCCTCAGGGTGATGGCATTAGGAAGAGAGGCCACGGGAGGTGACGGGTCATGACGGGTCATCACCCTATAAAGGAGATCCCAGAGAAGTCTCTCTCTCCTTCACCATGTGAGGACAGAGCTACAAGTTTCCATCTATTAAGCAGAAAGCAGGCCTTCCACAGACTCCCATCTGTTGATGACCTGTTTGTGGGCGCCCTGGTCTCCAGGTTTGTGCGGAATGCAATTCTCTCTCCTTTATACTCGACATTCAGTTTATGCGCTTCTGCTGAAGCAGCTCAAATGGAGACGCCCGTCTTTATAAGGAAGACAGAGAAATAAGCACAATCAGCAAACACTGTCTGGGTTAATCCATGATGGCAAACTTCTGAGAGGGTGCTGCGGATGGCACGGGAGGCACAAAAGTGCCAGACTCCAGTCGTCCTCAAGCGCTGCTCCCCTCCTGTCCCAGGCCTTCACTGTCACCTAGAGTGCTTTATGGTTTCTTTTTCTTTATACTAATTGCATTGACCCAATATTTCATTATACTGTTAATTATATTTATTTCCTGTCTCACTGATGTAAATAGTAATTCCATGAGGACAGAAATTTGTCTTACGTACCGTTGTATTCTTACAGTCAAGCCTTATACCAGCTCCATTATAGGAAGTGGAATTTATTCTACCTGTCCATCCTTCCATCATCCATCTACCTCTCTGCCTATTTTAATAGCATAGATAATATATTAAAGGCAATTCATTTTTTTCCAAAATTATTAGCAAATAGGAAGATGCTTAATTAACAATGTTGTCATCACCAAACCATAAAGTAAAACCACATCAAGAAATCACAACACATTTATTAAAATGGCTGAAATTTAAAAAGTTGATCATGCCAAATGCTGGAACAATGGGAACCTTCAAACACTGCTAATGGAAGTCGGAAATGTTACAACCACTTTGTGAAGAGTCTGATAATTGCTTCTAAAGTTAATTATGTACTTACCATAAGGCCCAACCATTTTACTTCTAGCTGTTTGCCCAAGTAAAGTGGAAGCCCATGTCCAGTTGTTGTAGTCTGGAAGTATCCCTCAAAATTCATGTGTTGGAAAATTAATTTCCAATTCAACAGTGCTGGAAGGCAGAGCCAGTTGGGAGGTTTTTTAGGCATGAAGGCTGCATTCTCGTAAGTTGAATATGGCCACCTTTAAAAGGGAGCTTTGGCCTTTGTCTGCCTTCTGCCTGGTGAGGACGTGGAGTTGCTCTGCGCGTGCACTGCTCATGCAGTGTCCATGTTGTGGGCAAAGTGGACTCTCACCAGGCAGTCATCCTGCTGGCGTGTGATCCTGCTAGTCAAGACCTGAGACATTTATCTCTATTCCCATTTTTTAAAAGATTTGTTTTAAAACTGGAGTTAGCGAGACAGAGGGACACACATACACACACAGATATTTCTTCTGCTGGTTCACTATTAAAATGCTCAAAATGATTGTAGCTGAGCCAGACCCATGCCAAGAGTCAGGAGCTTCATTTGGGTCTCCTGTGTAGGTGGCATGAGCCCAAATGCATGGACCATATTCCCCTGCTTTTCCCAGGCCATGAGCAGACAGCTGGCTGAAAAGCATACACCATCCAGTACTCATAGGATGCTGGCATTCCAACAGGTGGCTCTACCCACTATGCCACATGACAAGTGCCCTGTTCTTTATAAACAACCAAGTATCAGACATTGCATCACAGGCTATGATACTTTCTAAGAACTTAAAACATGAATATTCTCAGTGGCTACTTTATTAATAAAATAAAAAATAGAGGGCTCAGTGCAATGGCCTAGTGGCTAAAGCCTTGCCTTTTTTTTTTTTTTTTTAAGATTCACCTTTTTTTTTTTTTTAAGTGCAAAATCAGATACACAGAGAGGAGGAGAGACAGAGAGGAAGTTCTTCCATCCGATGTTTCACTCCCCAAGTGACTACAACGGCCAGAGCTGCGCTGATCCGAAGTCAGAAACCAGGAACTTCCTGCGGGTCTCCCACATGGGTGCAGGATCCCAAGGCTTTGGGCTGTTCTTGACTGCTTTCCCAGGCCACAAGCAGGGAGCTGGATGGGAAGCAGGGCTACTGGGATTAGAACAGGCACCCATATGAGATCCCGGCATGTTCAAGGCTAGGACTTTAGCTAATGGCTACTGCGCTGGACCCAACCGTTGCCTTGTTTGTGCCATGAACCCATGTAGGCACTGGTTTATGTCCATTTCCCATGAAATGGGAAATGCTCCACTTCCCTTCCAGCTCTCTGTATATGACCTAGGAAATCAGTAGAGGATGGCCCAAGCCTTAGGATCCTGCACCATATGGGAGACCTGGAAGAAGCTCCTTGCTCCTGGCTTTGAATCAGCTCAGCTCCAGCTACTGCAGTCCCTTGGGGAATGACTCAATAGACAGAAGTCTCTCTCTGTATCTTTTTATTTCTGTAAATCTGTCTTTCTGATACAAATAAATAAATGTTTTAAAAATTAGAAACAACCGAATCATGTAACAAAACTCTGGATAAACTATAATGTATCCATCCGTTGGGATACTACTTAGTAGTGAAAATAAATGTACTATGGAGGGTGTGAAGCCAGAAGAACCACAGAAGTACAGACTATCCGAGTTCTTTGTGTCAACAAGACCTGGCAACTTGTTGGATCAGAGTCACTCTACAGACAAAGAAGAGATTGGAGGGCAGTTATGGGCTGTGATGTGGCATCCAAGGGGTGTGGAGGTGACACACAGGAACATGAGGACATTTTGGGGGGTAATAGACACGTTCATTATCTTGACTGCAGTGATAGCTTTACAGGACCAACTTATATAAATTTGAGGAGTAATCTTTAAATACATATTTACTGCATGTCAGCCATACTTTGATTTTAATTTAATAAGAAAAAAAATGAAAAGCTCTTTTTTTTTAAATTTGCCAATTTCAGTTTTGTTCAAATGACAGGCAAGTCGTTT